AAGCTGAACCAGGTGCTTTCTTCCGAGTCCTCTGCCCATTTGTGTCAGGTGGACCCTCCTGCTTCCCTTGACTCCATTTCTCAACCTGTAAAACGTAAGGTCAACAGTTCAGCCCAGAACCTTATAAAAGTTGACACTGAAGCCAATAGAATGGGAAAAGCACTTTCAGAATCCCGTGTTTGTGGTGTTTACAAGCATGGGTGCTAATGTACCAGGGCCGAGAACACCCAACATGAAGACGTCCCTCAGCTCAGGTCAGCCTGGAAAGGTGACCGCAGCAGTGATGGAACTCAGTGGCACCGGTACCCTGGGAGCATCCTCCCACCCTTCCTGTTTAAAGAGGAACTGGCATCTCTAGCCGTTACTGCCCCACCCCCACTGCTCCCAGATTTAGATTGAGTGTGTGTATAAAGTTTACCAGCCACAAGTATGCTCTGTTTCCCACTCCTTGTTATGGGGCCTTCTCTCAGTTCAATATGCTTTTATTGGCACTTCCTTTGGTGTTCTTTACAGCAGCAGCTAATTAGTGACAGCTTTTGAGCAAGCAGCCTGTCATTTTTGGCAGGGACAGGGGACATCCATCGCTAAGTTTACCATGCTCCATGGAAATACATCTCACATTTAAAAAGCGTCTGTAGTCAAAGGTGGCTGTTTCTACTGAAATATCATCTCGAGTTGGCACTGTGTCCCACAGTTGAAGAACTCGCAGGAGATAAAAAAAGAACATAGGTTCTGTGTGTGTTGCTGACGCTGTGAGCCCGGAGTCACCCTCCTAGCTTGAGCCTGCGTTGGGGATATCAGACCTCACCATGTTGTTTTGGCGTGGTAATAAATCTCGCTGGGTGGCATTTAGTGGCAAGCATGGTGACTGGAAGGCCTGAGCTGTTGCTGTTGGTGAGCACTGTCCCTTCCCTTTATACCCAGCTTTTTCCTGCACTGTCATTAAAGGAAACAGTTCCGTTCACGTGGAGATGAAGGGGGTTGCTATTATTATTATTATTATTACTATTATTATTATTATTATTATTATTATTTGGGAACTTCAGACTCAGATCCGTGCTGTCACACAGCCCATGTCATTCTTCTCTTTGGAGTCACTGCAGCAAGGTCCGAGCTCTATTTTACAAACGTGTCACGATATTTATGGATGGTTCAGCTGTTGATTAACACCAACGATGATGAGTCAAAACTCTCCGTCACGGTTTCTGTAAAATGTGATTCACTCCTGTTACTCCTATAATAAGGATTCGAATAATGTGTTAAAAATAACACGTTGAAGGAAATAATTGGCCTGCCGTCTATTTCTCTCGGTCTGGTTTCCCTCCGTAACATGGAGATCTGCTGAAATCATATGTAATGCTCAATTACCAAATTCCTACCATGTACCCAGCAGAGCGCAAGTTAAGTTGGAACTCTAGAGAGTTAATGTCATCTGTCTTTTAATAATGAGATGATCAAAATGATGAAAGACACAGCACACCAGAGCTGTGATTGTTTCTCACCAGCATGGGAAAGTATAAAAGGGACCTTCCTTCTTAGGAGCTTGGGATTGCCAGGTGTCCTGTCCTGAGTTTCCCCCTTGACATGTCGCGCATATAGTAAAATCCAAAAGTTGTCTTCCATTATCTGCTTTCTTGTAGCATGGCTTGGTGACCCCTGAGGATTCCTGGCGCTCAACTAACATTTAAAGCACACCGAGATGGCAACATAGTCATTTCTACATCTTCGAATTAGTATTTGCTAGCACAGGAACTTGCTTACTCCTTCTCTTTGGTTTTGGGTGCATCTGCATTAGGTAAATGAAAGCTAAATTATTGCCATTGTGTGAACAGCTTCCCTGGCGACACCAGCTTCAGCTTCCTTTACTAGCTCATCCTATCCTGCCCCCTGGGATGGTTGATGGGTTGTTTTCTCATTGGTATGAGTGACATTGTCCCTTTAAGAAAGCCAGAGTTTAGCATGACCCGTGTTGGTAATAAATAAGAAACAACAGAGCTGGCATCCTAATTGCTTTTAATGATTTTTTTTTATTCTTATTTTATGTGCATTGACGTTTTGTCTGCGGGTAGGTCTGTGTGAGGGTGTCGAATCCCCTGGAGTTGGAGTTACAGACAGTTGTGGGCTGCCATGTGGATGCTGGGAATTGAACCCAGGTCCTTTGGAAGAGCAGCCAGTGCTCTTAACCACTGAGCCATCTCTCCTGCCCCATCCTAACTGCTTCTTACAGGACACGCCTCACTGCCCATTGCAACCATGAGTGGTCAGGGCTTAGGTTTTAGCCTCGAGGGAGACCTGCCCACTTCCAGGATGGTCCTTCTCTCTTTAAACCTCTCGAGAACCTCCAGCTTTTAGCTAACTTCTGATTGGTTCAGAAGGATGAAGGTGGACCACCAAGCTCTCCTCCGGCTTCCTCTGCTTGTGCTTGACGGCTTCCAGAAGGACTCTGATTTAAAGCTTTCTTTTGAGCCAGGTGGTGGCAGAGGCAGAGGCAGAGGCAGAGGCAGGCTGATCTCTGTGAGTTCGAGGCCAGCCTGGTCTACAGAGTGAATCCAGGACAGCTAGGGCTACACAGAGAAATCCAGTATGGAGAAGAGAGAAAGGCAAAAAGCTTTCTTTTGGGTTGTGTCTTTTGGAAGTTGCACTTCTGTGATAATTCATTGTGTAGCTTCTATTCTAAGGCAGCCTCAGGACAAAGGGATGCTCCGGAAAGAACAACTTGGGCTAAATGAAGATTTTTAACTTAAAACAATGTTTATTTTGTATATGTGTGTACATGCATACGTACACCACAGTGGGCGTGTGGATGTGAAAGCAACTTCGAGAGCTGATTCTTTGCTTCCACCATGTGGGTCCTAGGAATCAAATCAGGTTATCAGGAAAAGGCCTTTGCCCACTGACTCATCTCAGCGGCCATTAATTAAGCGAAGATTTTTAATAAGCAAAGTGGTGTGGCTGAGTGTGTGCTCTTTGAAGGTGTGAAGCCTCTTAGGGCCTCTGAGAGTGCCTATCTCTTAAGCCGGTTGCCTCATCTGTAACATAGTGACACTATTCCTTGGGAGACTGACTTATTGAGGACACATGCCGAGTGCACAGGTGTGCGCGGCTGTCGTGTGGTGATAGCTTTGTTTTTTTCTCATTCCCTCTGCTCCTGCCCTCCGCTGCTGTTCCCTCTCCTGCCTTCCCGGTCCCTCCTGCGTGCCAACCCCCTGCTGCTGAGAAGCAGACAGAGGAGTGGAAATTAAGTAGCTTACTTTGTGTCAACATGAAATAGTTTCCAGCGTGCAGCTTAATTTAGCCGATGTAACAAGTTTCTCACCCCAGGAGCTCTCAGGTGTCTTCATCTCCTGCTGGGTGTTCTGAGGCTGGGGTTAAGCACTGGGTCATCAAAGCGTCTGTAGGAGAGTGCCTCCCACAAAAAGCCTGGTGTCTCTGCTGCCACCACAACCTTAAAGAGAGTAGTCAGAAACCACATGGAGCGGGCAGGCGGCATGCTATGTGAGCCTGTCCTCGTCACATCTTTTCTCTTTTCCTGTGTGCGTGTGTGCGCGTGTGCGTAGGTCAGCAGACAATTTCGTGTGTCATTCCTCAGACACCTCCCTTGTTTGGCAGGGTCTCTCACTGGCCTGGAATCAAGTAGGCTATATTATCTGGCCAGCAACCCTGTGTCTGCCTCACATCTTGCCATTGCTAGAATTATAAACATTCACCACTGTGGGTGCTAGGGATTTGAACTCGGGTCCTCGTGCTTTCTAGACACCTTCTTTACCAACTGAGCTATCTCTCCAGTCTAGCCCACCACATTTTCTTGCAAGACATATGTAGAGAGTTGAGGCAGGAACCGATCCGACTGGGCAAACCTCTAAACCTTCATTTTTCTTCCTTCTCCTATCTTGTACTTGAAAGGCTCTCTTGCTGCCTCGACGCAGACTCGCCTGCAGTGTGGCGCTTTTCTAATTTACAGAAGTCGGTGCCAGAGTAGAATGCTGTGGTGGGGGCACTGAAATCTGAAGAAGATTTTAAACCTCTTTTGCTCATAGTTTACTGGCCTTTTCTCCGAATCTACTCTCAGAATGTGTGTGCATTCTCTGTGGCCTCTGGGGTTTTAGTATCGAGTGCATGCTGGGCAGAGGGATGGCTGGGCTTTTGTTTGCTTTGTTTTAATTTTTTAAATGGTTTCTTATTTTTATTTTATGTGCATTGGTGTTTTACCTGCCTCTATGTCTGTATGAGGGTGTCTGATCCCCTGGATCTGAAGTGACAGACAGTTGTGATGTGGTTGCTGGGAGTTGAACCCAGGTCATCTAGAAGAGCAGCCAGTGCTGTTAACCACTGAGCCATCTCTCCAGTCCCATAGCTGTTTTGACTTCAGTTTGAGAAGAGAAAAAGCTGACATTTTATTTTTGTCAATCACTCAGAGACCTTAAATGTCACTGTAACTTTTATCGCCAGATGACTATCATATTTTTAGATAGAGACTTCTGGAATATTCATGTAAAAGATAGGAATGAGGAGGCCAGCGCCATGGCTCAGTGGGTAAAGGCACTTGCCACCAAGCCTGAGGATCCAAGTTTGATTGCCGGGACCCAAATGGTGGATGGAGAGAACATACTCTGACTGCCACACATGTGCCATGGTACACATGCACCACACATGCAACATACAAAGCAAACAGAGGCTAAGATGGCTCCTGGCCTTCCCCCCACCTCCTCCCAAGTATGATCTCACTTTGAAGTTGGGGTTCTTAAGGTTCCCTGGCTGTTTAGAGAGCATGGGGCCTCATGTTCTTACTGCCTTCGACTTTAGGCGGCCGAGACCCTTCAGTGGCAGAGGCTCCGTTTGCTTGTTTTTGTTGGGAGCTTTACTGGAAACAAAATGTGATTGCGTACTAGCTGCAGAGGGGAAGTTGGCGAGAACTTAGAGCTTTCTGTTTGGTCTGTCTGAAGCAGCTGACCTTTTGGAAGGAAATCGCCGCTCTCTGCTTCTTCCTGTAACGTCGCAGCCAGTAAACGGTGAAGGAGTGTAGACAGAGTTCTGCCTCCAGCCAGGCTGCCGAAGGCACAAGCCCTTAGGAGCAGGAGCCCCTGTTCACGGTGCTGAGCTATGTTTAGACGTGTTAGTAGCCGCATAGTGAGAGAAGATCTGTTTCCAGAAAAGTAGTTTTAGCAAAAGTGATTCCGTTTGATGGCAGAGTCCCAGTGCTAGTGGACAGCTGACGATTTCAACTCATCATTACGTGTCCTGATAACGACATTGATTCTTCTACCTGGATAAACTATTTCTTCCTGGCAGGAAAACATTTTAATTTTCTAATCAAGAAGCTCTTATTCAATTGTCATGTCTATGACCCAAAGTAAAAATGGATGGATAATTCATGTAAATGTGTGCAACACAGCAACCTGAACCTGCATTTGGCTCAGTAGGTAGGTGTGCTTTTCCAATGTATTCTCAGCCTGTTTCCTAGATTGACTGTTGGTGGCAGAGACTGTTGAGTGAACGCTGATGTGGGGTGCACTCTTGCAACGCTAACACTTAGGAGACTGAGGCAGGAGGATTGAAAGGTCAAGGCCAGCTTGAGCTACATGGTTAGTTCCAGTCCACTCTGGGCTACACGCAGGTTCTGGGTGCAGACTAAGCTGATAGCAACCGAGCAGGCCTGTTCTCCCAGTTCCGACAGCCTTTGAGTAGGAGCTAACAGCTGAGGTTTTCTTTTGCTTCATCTCATCCCAGCAGCTCTCCAAAGGCCTTCAATTGCCGCTCTGTGATGTCCAGGGCCCTCGTGCAGCTCAGTTGTGGGCAGGTGTGCGATTCACGTGTCAGGAGAGTTTTTTGAAGGAATTTTTATACTGTTGTGAATGGATTTCTGTGGTCTTTATTCTGTCTACAGTTGCTATAAGTTTTTTGGTTATGCAAAAGGTGAAAAGGAGCCAGTGGTACATATAAATAGACATTGGCTCCACATTAATTTTAGCCATTAATAGTCTTGACCCACTACTTGAAAACATATTAAGTTGCTAAGTATCTGGAAGTGATAGGATTGCATTCCTTTAAAGAAATGTTTTATGACTAAAGTTCTACTATTTCATGTCCTTCTTAAATCAAGGCTATCTAGTTTGTGACACAATGTCATAACCTGGACCCTGACATGTCGGAAAATATTCTCTTCCTATGTCTTTAAAAAAAAAACTAATTAATTAATCTGGGCAGTGGTGGTGCACGCCTTTAATCCCAGCACTCAGGAGGCAGGGGTAGGCTGATCTCTGTGAGTTTGAGGCCAGCCTGGTCTACAGAGTGAGTTCCAGGACAGCCAGAAATGTTACACAGAGAAGCCCTGTCTCGAAAAACCAACGAACAAAAACCCCCAAACAAACAAACAGAAAAACTAATTAGTTAACATGTATGTATGTATGTTTGTGTACATGGTTACATGTGCCCAAGTATATGCAGATGCATGAGCGGGAGACCGGCAGGCACTGGATCCCTCTGGAAGGGTCGCCAGCTTTTGCCAGGCTTGTTACATGGGTGCTGAGGTCTGGACTCCCATCTCACTGTTACACAGCACGTTCTTCTAACCACCGACCCCCACCCCCCCCCCCCCCCCCCCCCCCCCCCCCCCCCCGTCTTTGTTTATCATAGGGATCCACTGTGTGGCTCAGGCTGGACTCGAACTTGGAATCCTATCACCTCAGACTTCCAAGTGCTGGTATTACAGCTTGTGCTTTCCTACCTGACTGTTCTTTGGTCTTTGCATATCCTTTTAAACTTGGTTTCCATGGGATGGTCATTAGTGATTGTCTATTGTTACTAATTTTCTATTTCACATGTTATATTTTGAAAAGCTTACTTAGTTTGTGACATGGGGAATGGGGATCAAACCTATGGCCTCACTCATTCTAGAACACACTCCCAAGTTCTCAAGTTTCAAACAAAATTTGATAACTACAAAAAAGGATCAGAACACCTTGGCCTAAGTGTAACAGGGGCTTATCTTCCTTTAGACCTTTCTGTGATGTTTCTTCAATATGCCTTCTGTACACACTTTTACTACATTCTTTTCTTAGTCCTCAAAGATGTGTTGACATGGTGTGTGTGTGTGTGTGTGTGTGTGTGTGTGTGTGTGTGTGTGTATTTCATCATGGTTGCCTCTCTGTGTGATTTAGATGGCTGTGTGCCATTCCATCAGGCTAGTGTGCTACAGCTTTCCCATTCCCTTAGTCTATGTTATCTCCAGTTTCTCCCATAATATATTGTACTGTTTAACCAGTGGTTGTCCTTAAGAGTTGACCTAGAACAAAACACTCTTCAAAGCAAATTTTTGCTAAGTGGAAACAGTACTGTAATTCTCAGTGGGAAGAGAGAGGCTATGAATTTTAATGAAGAAAATATTGGGAACATGTTTCTTATTTTCTGTAATGCAGATGTCGTTATTTATGGGCTCCAGCAAATGCTTGCAGTCATCTGGAAAATGGCACAGTGGTAATTCTTCTGTAATGGCTGTTCAAGTTGCTTGTTAGATTTGGACTTGGAGATAGTAATTCATAGGCAAGAATGCTAGCATCCTTCTGACCACAACACACAGCCCCCAAACTCCAGACTTTCAGTACCGCTCAGGACCAGTTCCAGAGGAGACAGCAGTTGGCCGTCTATTGCTTTGTTTTTCTCTTTTGAATTTTTTGCTCCTAATTCTGATTTTGAAAATAAATGAGTTACTGACCTGGGAAGTTGAAAAAACAGAAGAGCGAGCTCCAGACAGATTTCACCAACTGTGAGCAGGTGTCGGTTCTATGTCATCACCCCATGTCGTCACCCCGACACAACGTGCTTCCCTTCTGTGAAGGTGAAGGCAGACTTCATGACCCCTCAGCCTTGGAGCTGGAGTCTGTGCCAGTAAGAACTGGGGCACCTTCTAGCACACCATGACACCATGACACTCTCAAGCAATTTAACACTGATCCGAGGTCTGCGAATATGCTCAGACACTAAAGCACTTGCCTAGCATTACAAGACCCTGGGTTGGGTCCTCACCAATGCCTAAACCAAGTGTGGTGCACACCCATAATCCCATCACTTAGGAGGCAGAGGTAGGAGAACCAGAAGTTCAAGGTCATCCTCTGCTATACCGCCAATTTAAGGCCACACAAGACACAATAATAGCCAACATATAGGCCGTATGTAACTTCCCTTAATTGTCCCAATAATGTCTTTTAAAGATGTGTTTCTGATTTAAAAGCAAGCAAACAAAAAGACTTACATCTATCTGCGTGCGCGCGCGTGCGGGCATGTATAAGGGAACCCGCATACAGAGGTCAAAGGACAACCTGCAGGAGCTGGTTCTTTTGCCGTGTGGGTCTCGGGAATTGAACTCAGGTCATCATGCTTGGCCGTAAGCTGAGCCACCTCGCCACCCTGTGTCCGCTTTTACGAGCTCCTGACTGACTGTCACATCTCTGTGCGCCTGTCTCCTTTTTCTCTAAACCAGTTCTGCTCTGTTGCCCCCCACCCCAATTGCTTAGCGTTAGAGTCTGGATTTGGGGGGATTTGTCTGGTTCTTGATTGTTTCTTTAAGGTGTGTAGTTTAGTTGCAGTTACTGTGAACATCTCTCCAGCAGAGAGACACCCCCCCAATGCTGCATCCTGGTTCTCATCTGGGACGTCCTGGAAAACACAGCATGTTTCACCTGGGCTCTGTTATCTTTGTGCAGGGGCCATGCCAATCATCTCTGCTGTTCAGGTGTGTGTGTGTGTGTGTGTGTGTGTGTGTGTGTGTGTGTGTGTGTGTGTGTGTGTGTGTGCTGCAGAGGAGAGCACCGTTGATGCTTTCTTCCAGATTCTTTGTAATTTAGGGTTTTTTTTTTGTTTTGGTTTGGTTTGTTTTTTTGTTTTGTTTTGTCTTCTCAGCGTATCAAATCTGGAGGTGCCATTTTGCCCTATGGTTGTGTTTGTCCAACCCTCTGTTAGAGCGTTATCCACCAGATTCACCTTCTGATGTACCTTTTTCCTTTTTTTTTTTTTTGGTTTGTTTGTTTGTTTGTTTGTTTTTGAAGTTCAGGGAATTGATTGTAGGACCTTGTGAATTCTAGCCCAGGGCTCTACCACTAGGCTGTGTCTCCAGCCTCCTTTTCATTTTGTGAATAGTAAGAAACATGCAACTGCAGGAACATGCTGTTTCCAGAGACTGGCATCACCCATGGCCTTAGGAGCCGTGACGCTCCTTGTCTGGGTCTACTCTGCATGTGCACGTGTCTAGAGGCTGGAGGTCAGTGTTGAGTGTCTTCCTCAATTGCTCTCCACTCTGTCTTTGTGAGACAGGGTGTCTCAGTGAACCTGAAGCTTGCCAACTGGGCCAGACTGGCCAGCAAGCTCCAGGGACCCGCCAGACCACCTTTCCCAGAACTAGGGTTACAAGCTTTTCCCCTTGGTTCCTGGGGATTGAACTTGGATCCTAGGGACAGCAGAGTTAAGTCCTTCTCCAGCTGGGCCATCTCCCAGTCCAGCCTACTTTATTCTCGAGGTTGTGCTCGTTGTAATGTAAATGCACGTTGTATTGAGGTGAGCCGTTTAAATGCGTAAGAACCCACCGGTGCGGGCTTACTCTCTGTACTTAGCAAGTAGCTCCTTCCTCCTTTCTCCTCCTGTCCCTTCCCTCATTACCTCTCTTCTTCCCAGAGTAACACGCCATGACTGGGCCGTGACGGGAAGATTTGTGTCTTCCCAGAATCTGATTATCTGTGTTGCCAGGGTAAAGTTTTCCTTGTTTGTTTCTCTGTGGGCCAAACACTTTTATTTCTGTTCCCTTCCTATCTGCTTAATGATTTTTTTTTTTTTTCTGAAAGAGAATTACCTTTCTGGTTGCTTACAAGTCAATGTTTAGTTTTTGTTGTTGTTTTTTTAAGGGCAGATGGCTCTGGTATTGACCTACTTTTAGATGTGGTCATTTTACTCTAACCTTGCTTGATGTCAGGCCAACGTGAACACAGTCTTAATCCCCTATCACTCTGTTTAACACTTTCTGTCTCTCAGAGTCCTTCCTATTCGCTGATCGTCACCACTAATCCAGTCACACTGTTGACACTGACAGGGAGAACATCAACATGACCAGCTTTATTCCCCCTCCCAGGGTCCCTCCGTCCTCGGCGGGGGCTGGGAGGGTTAGCACTTCACGGTGCTGGCTCCTCGCCTTGAACTCTTCAGATCAGAAACAATGTTTAGACACCCAGTTCATCTGCCAACTGGCCCCAGCCTTTGCCAAAGTCGGGCTCCCAATATTAGGTTTCTCGTTCTGTTTTCTTCTTTCTCTTTAAATGTTGAAGTATGACAACATGTGGAAAAGTACAGAGGGTGACATGACAGACAACTCAACCACAGGTCCTTAGGACACAGGCACCGTGTGGGGCAGTGGTGGCAGGACACACAGACAGAGCCT